GGATCACCTTACAACTGCGTCGTTATGTAACAGAGAATTGGCAAATAGTCACCGAGGCCTCAGCGAGCGTCAGACAACTAACACAAATCGTGAATGCATTTCCTCTTAAGTGGATTAATTATAGGGAGATAAAAAAAATCCAGCAAATGTCACTCCTTGCTCTCCACTTCGACCTGCGAAAATGAGCGTCACTGCATGGAACTGTTATCATGCACTTCCTCGAAATATTTAAAACGAGCATTTGGCACTCCTAACTCTAAAATTTTCCTGTATAGTAATGAATTAATCTGAAAAAAAAACAAGAAAAGAAAATCAGCAGATCTTTGACAAGCATAGCTAATTTTTCCGCGCACCTGGCGATTAGAGTTCACTTTCGGAAAATTTCCTTGCGAGACTAAAGGCACTGTGTTCAACTCTGCTCAGAAGCTTAGAGTGCCTTCAACCCTTTACATGGATTTTTTACTATAAGACCACAACAGTTGTTTTATCCGAGTTGAGCTTAGACTTCAACTCGGCAAGCAACAGCGACAAGACAGTGTTCCATAATAGCAGCGCGATTGACACTTCCAAAATATTTCGCATTTACATGCACTGTAGTCTGTCAGCTTTTCAATCAAACAGTGCGTACCAAAAGTATGTGGACACCCTAAAATTCTCAGGGGTCAGCTAAAGTTTTACACAATGAAACCTTCACCATTCAACTCCTAGTGGTCGATAACCTACAATGACAATTAAAGATTTCGTTCTAGTTTAGCAAACTATTTTTGATGGAAATTTTTTTCTTTGTATCAAAATTATGTGGACACCCTGAGGCAGATCAACTTTCTGCACTAATTTTCTAACCTATGTTTTACTTTTCCTTTCGTTACTTATTCTGGCATCATTCCTCTTCACAACAAGCATTTTTCTGAAGAGGACCAAGCAGAGATAATGGGTCCTCATGTTGCTGAACCTTCCAATTGCGGAAATCGCACGTCAACCCGGCCCTGCGCCCTCGTTTGTCAGAAGAGAGATCCAGAATTTATTTATTTATTTATTTATTTACTTTTTATTACTATGCACTCGTAGGTGCGCTACAATAATTAGTCAGAAACCAAATCGTTATAAAATGAGAGTCATCGACTTAAGTAAACACAATTTGAGCAGTATTTTACCCACAAGCGGAAAGTTCACAGACACATATTATTCGAAATCGTTGATGCCTAATAAGGCAAGTAAGTCAATGTTCTTTAATTTTCTTTTGAACGTATCGGTGTTTTGTGCCAGTTGCAAGTCTGAAGGTAATAATTGAAGCCATCTCGCTCCGCGAAAGCATAGCGAGTTAAAAACCTGAACCTGATGATTTCTGTATAATCTAGGACATTGTAGTGATAATGAAGTGATGCGACCTCTGCTCGGTCTCATTATCCAGTACTTGCTTGGTCTCAGCTTGAGTTCACCTTTCAACAATTTGAAACACCCAGGGGGGGGGGAAAAAATTTTTATGGTATCGATTGCAATGCCTCCCTGGACATCAACGACTGGAGTATTCGAAGCCAGCAAAGCTGGTAAGTTTCTGGGAGAGGCGGGATTTGCATAACATCGATACATCAAAATTCTAGTGAAAGTCTGTTGAACCTTTTCAATTTTAGCTTGAAGTTTCTTAATGTGAGGGCTCCATATCTGCGAACCATATTCAAGTATGGGAACAACATATGCTTTGTAGAGTTTCAAAAAGATTGAAACATCATTGTGCCGAATATTTCTAATGGTTGCAAATTAGGTCGTATCGTGTTACGTACAATAACATCAAATGTGATGCGAAAAATTTAAATCAGAATTTATGAATCCTGATGCTAAGTTCCCGGCTTTGATTAATTGTCGTCTTCAATCGATACGTGTTCAAAAACACAAGAATAGCCTGTACTGTCCCAAAATTCCTTTGGTTTGCTATCTGCGTGCTCATCAATTGTGTGGTGTGGTGAATGAAGCGGGAAACTGGAGTTCGGATTACCAGTATGTCAGGAAGACAATCAGGATTATAATGGGGTGCGATCCCACCTTATCCTTTTTCGAGAAGCCACTTTCAGGAAGCACTTGTTTTGCAGCAAGCCCATAAGGGGTCCCCTACAC